TGCTCTTGGCACCGGTGGGCTCGGAATCATCCCCGCCCCCTTGTCCACACCCTCCGCCAGCAGACAGCCCCGACCCGCCCCGCACCGCCCCACCCCGCCCAAAAGAGCAGCCAAGTTGGCGCTAAGCATCAATCTGATTTGGCTGATGGGCGCGCCAGGCTGGGCACTCGCGCTGATTGCAGTAATGCGCGTACATAACGTAAACCCATTCCTCATCGCTACCTTTTCATTTTTACGGGGACAATTTTTTCTTCTTAACTATCCTCTTTTGAAAACGGCACATAATTGTGATCTCTCGGTCGAGAATGGCATATTACAAAGATGCTCAGCGCGTAGAAGAGTATATGCACCGTAAAACAAGCCAACAATCACTGTGTTTGCAAAAAAAAATTGACAGTTACAATCCCTCGTTACTTCGAAGGGTTTTTCTTAACAGTGCGGGGAAACATGCTGCAACTGATAAGACAAGAGAGTGACGAAAACAGAACACCGCACTACTAGCACTCTGCTGGGAGGGGGCGATTTGTTTAAACAATGTTCACCACCTCCCGACCGGGCGTCTATTTCAATCCAGGCGTATTGCACCCATCCGGTCGACCCCCCCGTAGCGGGTGAAATATTAATTTCTATTTCAGGGTGACCCCTCTTCCCTGGGCCAGTGCGGGTGGGCCGGCGGGTGGCCGCAGCCCCGGCGGGGGAGGGATTACTTACCGATCCGCAAGTTTACCATAATTGAGAACATTAGGTCGACACGGTGAGGGGGGGGGGCAGGGCGTAGCGTGGCGGGGTCCTTGGAGGGAGGTGGAGGAGCGGGGCCCTCGAGAAGCAAGCAGAGGGGTGGGTGGTGGAGTCGCAGCGCGCCCGTCTGTCCTTGTCCGGGGCGCTCCTTGGGACCGGCAGAACGGCGCGGCTGTGGGAGCGGGCGAAAATACGTGCATGTGGGAGAGAGAGAGAGTAGGAGCTAGAGGGGAGGGGTGGGGAGTTAGAAATCCCGCGCTTTAAAATACGACTGCTGGCGGCGCCACGGGAGAGAGGGAGGGAGGGAGAGAGGGAGGGAGAGAGGGAGGGAGAGAGGGATAGAGAGAGAGAGAGAGAGAGAGAGAAGGCAGGCGGCTTGAAATCACTCCGCCCGGCCCGGGCCGGCACGGCGGCGGGATGGCTCAGATTTCAGCTACGAAATAATGTCCACTCCATTACCGCCCCAATAGAGGCTGGCCGAGGCCGGGGGGGCGGCGGGCGCCCGTCGCTGTCCAAAACAGCCCTCTGGGCAAGGGGGGGGGGGAGAGAGTAGGCGAAAGAAGAAGAAGAAGAAGAAGAAGAACGGGTCGCAGTAAGTGAAGAGACATGCTCGGGTGTGATGTTCCCCAATAAAACTTTGTGACGGGCTTGTTATTTTCCGCAATTGACAATCTGCCACGGCGCTGGGCTCTGGCGGGCCGGCTGCGCCGGCGTCGCCGTCCTGGTGGGAGGCAGCACCACGACGGCGACCCATATCGGTCCGCTTTAAAGAGAAGCCCGTCGCGATTATGGACCGAGACGGGCGACGGGGCCACCCTGCCGGGAACCCTCGTCATTTCCTCACTCCCCTCTGACCCCGACACGGGGGTGCGGGGTGAGGGGCGGAGTGAGGCGGGGTA